GATCAAATAGCATAGAAAAATAGAACATTCTTTTCTCTATCAGACTATATAAAAAGAAAGTTTCTTTAACCTTTCTATAAGGGATAAAAATACCACTGCCACTACTTTTGGTATGCCCTAAGTAGATCGGTTATGTATAACGTTGTATTATGCTTACCAGCCGTGATAGCCATAATTGATATTGGTGCTGCGCTCATATCTATTTTCGGTAATGATATTGTTGAGTTTGGTTTTCTATGAAAATATTGAACATCTTGAACAATTGTATTCAATGACTCATATATAACTAACACGGATGCAGCACACATAATAACAGACAAAATAATAATTGCTATTGGCTCCAGACGAGTACGTCCTATCACAGATAAAATTAAAAAAAATGCTTTTTTACGTTATATACAATCTTACCCTGTGGATAATTATACGGATCTTTCTTTTTGCGCGCGCGCGAAGCCCACAACAGTGCAACACTTGATGCAAGATCTACAGCACTATCAATCACGCTGGATACAACTGATAGCGATTTTGATAACACGGCTGCAACAATTTTTGTCAGAAACAGTAGCTAAAATAGACGAAATCAACCGTTTCAGCGGTAACAACACTTCACTTAAGGAGGGGATCCTCTCGAGTCTTTTCTGCCGATTCTTTTCGACCAGTTTGTAGAGCACACTTTAAAACATATATTTCAAGACTTTTTCGGTTTCCGGATCCGTAGTCTTTGAGAAAATGTTTTTTTAAGTTCAGCATTTTTTGCCCAAATTTTTAAAATTTCCATAGATATTTCATTTTTCGAGTTGGAAATTTGAATCTTTCGTCATTGGAGAGAGCGCATTGAGATCTATATAGAAAACAATTTCCATCATTATCGAGTGTAGTCTAACGGAAAAACTTGACTTTGATTTACCCATACCATTTCTAACGCAAGTAGTATTTTTAAGGAAACTTTAAACAGCGTTTCGCTTTAGGAAAGCAATATGGAACAAAAGTGTTGGAACAAAAATTGTTCAGCATCAAACTCTGCCCGAAATGACTATAGGAATTTTCGAAATTTTAAAGCCTAAAATATTGGTTTTCAAAGTTTAAATTTTTCTAAAATTTAATTTAAAAATTGAGTTTTGCGAATTTCAAAAATTCCTTCAGTTGTTTCACTTATAATTTGATACTGAACAATTTTTGTTTCCACAGTTTTCCTTGAAAATGCTTTCTTCGAGCGAAACTTTGTTCAAGATCCTGTACGATTTTGCGCTCTGGGACTGTGAAAAAATCCGCCTGAAAACCTTTATTGTTTTCGATTTTTGACACTTCAGTTCGATTCTGTATGTGAAAGTGCCTATGTTCTATGAGTTAAAGATTTTCTGAACACTATCGTCTGGCTCAGAATAAAAGAGAAAGTAACGTAAAAATTTGAGTCCCTTTTCTCCTTGGTGCAGGAGAAAAGGTCCCAGTATTTTCAATTTTAAAGATTGACCTTAAAAAATTTAGCGACAGCAAAGTATTACCCCATAGAAAAACACATGATAAACAACTTCTACGCTCACATTTCCGCTCCAAAATGCTTCTCAGCAAACTCTCGACAAGATCTCGAAAACGTACACTTTTAGCCCTCAAAACCCCTTCTCAAGGTTAAATCCGAACTTCTCCGCCAAACCTTGTTCGAGAACGATGATAATCTTTTTACATATACATCTCGATGCGCTCTATCAATTGATTACAATACCAAGATTTCAAACTGAAAAGTAAAAACTTTATTTAAATTTTTAAACATGGGCAAAAAAGGCCGATAAAAATTAAAATCTTTTCTGTGACAAAGTTTGAGTCAAATCTAAATGGGAGGACCCCCCTTAAAACAAAATTTTTACACTTACTATATTGACAGCTAGTGATACGTTTGTCAATATATTGGACATTTTTTCTTGTTTTGCTGCCTTTACTTTACGTTTGTCTGCCTCATCTTCGTTATAGTTATTTACTCGTTCAAATGTATCAATTAATTCATCTTGTTTTCGATAAAAACGTCTTGAAACAAATCAATTCATTTCATATGGTTCAAGTTAAAAAGTTAGGTATCTACACACCGTACTCTTCTCGATAATTTTTTATCTTCATTTTTGTTGCCCTAAAGAGAATAAATTCACGTTCTTTATCAAACCATAGATAATAAGCTACATACTTGTTTTCGGCGACTAAATGTTTTCATCGAATATGGAAGATCATCTTAAAAAAGAAAGAAATCTCATATTCCGTTATTTTTTCCATTAAAAATTATAGAGATAAACCTTCAATTTCAGTATTATTTGGTGCTCGTTGTTCCATACAAACAACAGGAATTGACACATCTTGACGGGTTGTAGAGGCGTCTGTGGTAAATGTTTCGTTTTGGCTTGAACTATATGCTATGCCATTAGTTTCGTCAGTAGTTCGTCGACGAATAGGTGAGAATGAACGAATAAAACCATTGTCGAAAGAGGGCGAGGATTTGGGGGGTTTCAAGAGTGATGATGGATTCACACGTTGATTTTCCAACGGAGGTATATTAGTCATGTTTTCATTTATAAGATAAAGTTTTGTTTCTAAAATAGCGTATTTATTTTATAGACTAAATCTCCGTTCCTCCTATGACTTTTTGATTCAGAAAAAAACAAAAGAAAGTTGAGTATTGCACATTATTAAGTACAAAATGATCATTTTTATCATTATTCGTATGAAAGTATGATATCATCTCAACAAAATGGTTATTTGTTTTCTCTCTAGTCTCATACGGTAGTCAGCGGAGCGGTTAATAGATCGAAATGTAGTAATATTTGAGTGTATATACTATCTATGTGCGAATGTGTCAATCAATATGTTTACGTTTTAACATACGATAAATACAGACTTTAGTGATCGAGTCTGTATCGAGTGCATTCAACCTGATATGACCGAAAACATCACCAAAAGTGTGTTTGATGTTAAAACCATGGATCTGTCATAAAAAATGATAATCTTAATATTTATAGTATAAGTTTTATCTCTTTCAGTCTTTTCACTCCATAATTTTATAAATCTTTCATTTCTCTACAAAAAGTTATTGAACGTTTATCAAAAAATATAAAAGTTAAAACCATACAGAAAACTTCATAAAGGTGCAGAACGGTCAACTTTTCGACTAAACACAGTTTTCTATTGTTGAAGTATTTAAAAATTTAAATTATGTCTATGGGGACAAAAGTGCGATATATGTCGAGGTAAAGTAGAAAAATTAAAACATATAACGATAAATGCATTTTTATCCAGGTAAACTCGGGTGTCATGATATGGTAGAGCGGCGCGACATCGCGATATAAATGTTAACGTGCCAAACCCATCTCATTCCTCGATAATTCGAGCTATCCCTATATAGCGCAATATTATTGACATAGACTTTTCATCATATTTAGAGGAGGCATCGTGACGAAATCGATATCTTACTGCAGTCTTTTTCATATTGTGATACATCGATGAGACATTACTATTGCGATAAACAATAGTAAAAAATGAACTAACGGGTGGCTCAAAAATAATGACACACTTTTGCAACTTATTTCCTTGCACTTAACTGAGGTTGTAAGGCTCGATTCTAGGCTCATTTGATAGAGAATTTTCTGCTCTACAAAATCCATTACCTTCTTTCATTATATATTATTTCATTATCTAAAAACATTGTATAGTGTCAGGACACGTAAAAAGTATAACTGCGATTTATTATCAAAATTTTGATAGCTTTTTAGCTTTTGTGTAATCTTTCGAGAAATAATATGGTAAGAGGGTCCTATAAAATGTTCAGCGGATTGAGAACTATCATCCAGACTACGCTGCTTTTCCGTTTCATCACTTAAATTATAAATCTGACAACGCGAGATTTGAAAAAAGCAGGGAAAGGGCTAATCAAATGACTCTGTGTAAGTGTGCGATATAGAGGGTTTTGTAGAGCAGAAAATCTTTTGTCTTTTGAAGTCAGAACGAATTCTTGGAAACATACGATATACAGACAAAAATAGGTACATCCATCAATAACCCCATAATCTTAGGACCATTTGTCGTTAGTGACTAACTGTTAAGAAAAATATTATTTTTTAATGTGAATTAATTAAATCCAGACGATTTCCTTACGCATAGTACGTGTGATGAATAGCTGACAGAAGCATTATTAAATAAGCAATTACGTTGAATACAAAAAATAAAATACAAGCTGTTCCATTCGTCGCAGCAGAGATGGGCAAGTCCAAGTCCGAACTGATACACTTTTTCACACGAACTGGGACCGAAAGACATAAGAGACGTGGACTTGTTTCACATGTGACTGGACTTTTGAGTTTATATTTGAAAAACGATGAAAAGAATAAAGAAATTGAATTCACTCTTTTATCTTTTTCTTGTTACCGAGTGGTCGGTTAAGATTAGCTCTGATCAAATTTTGATCAGTTACTTACAATCAGAAGACGGCTGGTTTTTTCCGCTGATTGATTGGTTTCTTTGCACTAAATGCACTGTACTTTTATTCATAAGTGAAAATGTTTCAGTTAGTTTAGACTTACCTGCAATTCTGTGCAAAAGCGTGTACAGTACAATGTTTTGATTTGGAAAGTTTATTTTTTGCAATTCAAAGTGCCTTAGTTCGATTTTAAAGTTTTGGAAATGTATACCTCGAAAGCCACGATTGTTTCACGTATGACCACGAATGAAGATTATTCACTTGTGTGCACGCATGGTCTCGCGTGTGATGTTGTAACAATACGAATCCAACATCGTGATACGTACTACCTACAAAATTTCGTGAAGGTCCAAGCTGACATTTCACGGTCCCTCACGCGTGAAAACTCAGCTGATCGAAGAGACACATATATCTTTTTAACAGACGTAAATAGATTTCTTCTATTAGACATCTTTCATATGTGAGTGTAGTATAAAATATAATAGAAGATAGA